TCTCTCTCTCTGTGTCAAATAAAAATAAGTAAAATCTTTAAAAAAAAAGAATTAAAAAAATAATAATAAAAATAAATAAATAAATGGAGAGTGTTTAGACTGGGTAAGCACCAGTTTTTGGAGTTTATATTCATTTAAAGAGAAGGTCTTTCCTGTTTTATTTTAAAGGCTCATGGGGCTCCAGGGGGAGTAAGAGTAGCCTTTGAACACCTTCCCGCTTTCAAACCTCATGAAGTTAGGTGAGTGAGGCTGAGTGGCCGGCCTTTCTCCTGTCAAACACATATTCCTAACCCACACATCGGAGCTAAGGGAGCAGCAGAGAGTTAGAATCCCAAGAATGTCCCTCCTTCTGCTTGTGCACGGCTGCAGCTTTGGGAAAAGGGCCATGGAGAGGAGACAGTGAAAGGACACTGGGCTTCAGGCCTTAGCCAGGATTCAGGCAGAGCAGGCTCAGCCACTGTTCTGGAGCTGGGAAGCCCAGCACTTCTCAAGCTATTCCACCGCTCTCCTCCATCACTCAGAGGTTCCTTGTCAGCTTCCCCAACCTTGTCACTAGTCGGGGCTGAGCTTCCCTACCCTGAGGCAAACCAGCTGTTCTCTTCTGCAACCTATCCCCTCTCACCCTAGGTCTGGGAAGGAATAGACTGTTTTCTGTGTTATCAATCACTAAAAGCAGATGGGAACCAATCGGAAGACCATTCTGAGCAGTTTGGGCAGGAGTGTTAAAGAATCAGCAAAGTCCCAGTTTTTTTCAAACATCAGGAAATCAATTTAAGAGGGACACAGTTGGCATTAAGAAAAGACAAAATCTGGGGGTGCCTGGGTGGCTCAGTCGATTGGGTGCCTGACTCTTGGTTTCAGTTCAGGTGGTGATCTCATGGGTGTGAGATCAAGCCCCTGCATCACTGGGCTCTGCACTCAGTGGGGAGTCTGCTTGAAAGATTTTCACCCTCTGCCCCTCCCCCTGCTCTTTCTCATAGATAAATCAATCTTTAAAATAAATAAATAAAATCTGGTAGAACAGATTGGAAAACATCGGAGTGTACCACATATGACTCCATCACACACATATACATTATCTATAAGAAAAGCTTCAGGAACCAATGTTTACCCTTCTTCTAGTAGGTACATACTGGTGTGTAGTCATAAATCCATGCTGAGTCCACTGAAATTCATTTGGATCAAGGGCTTTATGAGGTATAAAAGAGGGAAAGGAAATTGGGGAGCTAGCAAGGGAGCTTATGAAATGCCTAGCATGTCAAACTAAAGAACTGGATTTTTTTCTGTAAGTAGTAGAAAACCATCAGAAAGTTTTAAGTGAAAAGAGGTACAGATGATCAAACTTGTAGAGTACAGAGAAAGAACTAGAGAGGAAAGAGATGAAAAGTAGAGAAGGTAGGAGGCTGTTAAAATAGTCCAGGAAAGAATGATGGGGGATAAATCAGAATACTGGGGATGGAGATTTTTACTAAAAGAGATTTAGGAAGTAAAACTGTTAGAACTTGGTGACCATGTGAAGGTAGGAGAAAAAGAAGGCACCAAAAATGGTGCCTAGTGGAGTACTATGTGGTATCCTGGCCTATATTCCAGAACAGAAAAAGGACATTAGTGGGAAAACTGGTAAAATCTGAATAAAACCTGGAGTTTAGTTAATACTAATATACCAGCCAATGATGGTTTCTTAGTTTTGACAAATGCACAGTGGCTATGTAAGATGTTAACCTAAGGGGAAACCATGTGAGAGGTATAATGAAACTGTATTATCTTTGCAACTTTTCTGTAAAACCAAATTTATTTTATTTTATTTTTTTAAAGATTTTATTTATTTGACAGAGAAAGACACAGCGAGAGAGGGAGCACAAGCAGGGGGAGCGGGAGAGGGAGAAGCAGGCTTTCCGCTGAGCAGAGAGCCCGATTCAGGGCTCGATCCCAGGACCCTGGGATCATGACCTGAGCCGAAGGCAGACGCTTAACGACTGAGCCACCCAGGTGCCCCTATTTTATTTTTTATTTATTCATGAGAGACAGAGAGAGAGAGAGAGGCAGAAGGAGAAGCAGGCTCCCCGTGGAGCAGGGAGCCCGATGTGGGACTCGATCCCAGGACCCTGAGATCATGACCTGAGCGAAGGCAGACGCTTAACCAACTGAGCCACCCAGGCACCCATTAAATTAAGTTTATTAAAAATAAATGATGCCAGGGCATCTGTCTGGCTCAGTTGGTAGAGCATCTGATGCTTGATCTCAGGGTTATGAGTTCAAGCCCTGCATTGTGTATAGAGATTATTGGGGAGCTATACCCTTAAAAAAAAAAAAAAAAAGATGCCTAGGTTTCTGGCTTGGGTACTTGGGAGCTAGGTGACTGTTATCTAAGATGGAATGCTGTAGAGGAGTTCTGGAGGGGGCAGATGGTAAAGCTCAGCTTTAGACATATTTGATGTCCCTATGGCTGGAGGGTAACCTACTTAGGAATAAGTTGATCTGGAGCTCAGGAAAGAGATCTGGGTTGGAGAAAAGAGACTGGTAATCAGCGTGGGCTGCTGGGCTTACCTAGACTGCCCTGGGGACACTTAACATTCAGAGGCAGAAAACCATTTCATTCCTGGTGAGGCATGGATACAAAATACCAAGTTTACCAACAATTATATACTTACTGAGCACATACCGCATGCCAGGCCCTGTTCGAAATGCTTTACATTACCTCATGGAATCCTCGTAACTATCCCCCATGGGATAGATGCAATTTTGACCATTTCACAGATGGAAAAAACAGGAAGCAGGACAGCCTATATTTTAATAGTGGTACTCAACTGGGGCAAGCATCAGAATCACCTGTGGAGCTTTAAAAATAGATGCCCTAGAAAGAGACTCAGGAATCCAGCCAAAAGCCCAAACCATGCATATTCATAGTGGTACTAGAGGTTGAGCCAGCTGTGGTGATATGAATCATCTCTTCCCCCCATTTATCTAATGATTAATTTCCTTCTTATGGTGTAAACCATCTACCATTGGTGTATCAAAAAGTGTATGACATTCTAATCTGATGTTAACACAATACTATTAGTACAAATGTTCTGATCTGTAGATAGCATCTTAGAGAGATATTATTTTACTTCAGATAAACAAAAAACCAATCTGTATCTGGTATTAAGAGTAGCATAGAACTGGATGAAGTAGGCCTTATCTTAGTTTAAGACCAAATGGGGTTTGAAGTTTGGTTGCTGGACTAGCAGCAGCAGCATCAACTGGAAATGTTAGAAATGCAAGATCTCAGGCCACACCCCAAACACGTAGAAGTTATAGGGGTAGGACCCAGCAAGCTATGTGTCAATAAGCCCTCCAGGCTCAAGTTTGAGGACCACTCTCTAAAGAAACTTCCACCCAGTGGTTCTCTATCATGGTTGAAGATAAGAATTACTTGGGAAGCTTTAAAAATATTCCTATGTCTAGGCCCCAAACCTACTTAGTTAGAATCTGGGAGTGAGGGGCGCCTGGGTGGCTCAGCCAGTTAAGCATCTACCTTCGGCTTAGGTCATGATCCTGGGGTCCTGGGATTAAGCCCTGTGTCGGTCTCCCTGCTCAGCTGGGCGTCTGCTTCTCCCTCTTCCTCTGCCCCCCCGCCCCCCCTCTGCTTGTGTTCTCTCAAATAAATGAATAATATCTTAAAAAAAAAAAAAAAAGAATCTGGGAGTACAGCCTGATCATGTACCCAAAAAAAGAAAACTCCAGTTAGGAACCATGTGAGAGGTATAAGGAAACTGTATTATTAGGAACCACTGTTTCAGTGGCACTAACCAAAAAACATCTACATTATTCATTCCCAAAAAGCTAGATTAGGAAGTAAAACAGGTATCTGGTTAACTGCCTATAGTACATCAATTTAACAGAATATTACACAACTGTCAACAAGAATAAGGTAGCTATATATGTGTGTGTATACACACACACACACATACACACACACTGATATAGAATAATCTCCAGTATAGTGTTAAATGAAAAAAACAATACGCAGAACATTTAAAAATATTTTTAAGAGGGGATATGTGTGTGTGCGTGCATGCATGTGCACGCTTCATACAAGAACAACTTAGATCTTAAAGGGTAGATAAGAAATTAGTAGGTGAAGTTTCCCCTGGCTTCCCAGGGGTGATCAAATTACAGGGAAAGGAGAAGTATTTTTTACTGTGTAACTACTTTGTAATTTCTTTTACTTTGTAAATTTTTTTACTATGTAATATTTTATTTTGTATCACTTGCATTTTTTACTGTTCGTATCACCTATTCAAATTAATTAATTTTTAAAATGTTAAGTTTAGGGGCAAAAAGAACCACTGCTTTAGGGGAATGAGACATTAGCAAGCCAGATATATGAAAAGCCAGACAGGAAGGAAGCCGGGCAGTGAAACAATATGGGGCTGTCAGCTGCTAAAGAGCAATTAGAGCATTAATGAAGGGAAAGGGGCAGAAGGAAAAACAGTCTTGGCAAAAAGTCCAAAGCAGATAATCCTCTCTCGACATTTCCGTCCTGAGGTGATATTAGGTAAACTGAGACTCAAACCAGAGAGCTCAATTTATCCAGATTCAGCTTTATTCTGAATTAACCATCTGTCAAGGATGCGTCAAAAGCGTAGAAAAAGATGAAGGAGCCCGTCAAAAAAGTTCCCTGGCAAGTGGGAGGGTCGGCATAAGGTTAGGAGCCCTGTTTAGGGAAGGAAATGTTGTCCAGGTCATGGATGCCATTTTTGTCAATGATTCGAACACTGAAGGTTGGCAGATTCAGGATGAAGCGTTTCTGGAGCTGCAGAGAGACATGAAGACAATCAGTCAAAAAATATTTTTTGAGCACTAACTATGGGCCAGGCTCTCTTTGAGGCACTGGGCATATAAGCAGATAAAAATCCCTGTTTTTGTGGAGCTTATATTCTACTGAGGGCAGTCAGTACTCAGACTGCAGCTGGAGGCTGGAGGGCAGTGAGCAAGAACTGGGAGATGCAGCTTGCAGCTTGTGTCTGGTCAGTCAGCTGATGAAAGAATAAGACCAGTCTAGGCTCTATTCCCCACAGCCTGCTACTAATCAGTCTGGCAAACACAGACTTCTTTTTTAAAATGTCTCAAAGTAGTAAGCCAACAAAGGAGTGATTGCCTAGGAATAAGCTTTGGACCAAAGCAATGTACTCCTACTTCCCAAGAATTTGCTCCAGTCACCCCACGCCCCCTGACATTATATAAGGCCCAGGTGTGTGCAGCTAGTGGAATGGTGGGAAGGATGTTGGCAGAACTGCTCTTGGAACAACCCCTACTTCTGACTCCTGCAATCCAAGCCGACCTGTGATTAAAATAACATCTCTGCACTCTCTTAAGATTCTCGGCTTGAGAGGCTGTTCCAAAAGTGCTGTGGTCTGCGTGCATGGAAGCAGACAGCCCCCGCTAACCTGGCTAGAGATTACTGAGGAACACAGTTGGAGGAAATCTATGTTTCTGTGGCCACCCTTCCTGGACACCTCACTTAGTCTTCAGATGGAAGGCATAAAGCTCTCTACTTGCTCCCTCAGGGGCATATCCCAGAGATGTCTACCTGCCCAGGCCTAAGCCCGCCCTCCCATATTTCCCATCTCCTTTATAGCTGAGGACTGAGCATCAACAACCCATTCCATTTCCTGAGTCTCCTCTAGCTGATGACTCCTATGTCCAGAAACAAGCTCCCCAAAATCAAGAAAAGGTGACAATAAAGGAATGTGGGTTTGTAAAATGATCATCCTTAGGATCCATGGTGAGTAAAGTCTCAAAGCACTGGATATGCCAGTGGCTCCTCCCTAGCGGCCCCTTGTAACACTTAGGACTGCTGGACTAATATGGCCTCTTAGCTGAACGGTTAAGGAAAGCACATGAGTTTATTCTCAGCTTCTGCTTTGGAAAGAGGATTCGCAAACAAGAGAAAGAAGGGGGCACTGTGGACTGAAAATGACAAGACTGTGTAAGAGGCAAACGGACATTACGCCCAATGCTCCCACCTGCTCCCACCCTCCTACTCTCTCACTAGACCACAAATTCAAGTTCATCCCTAGGCCACAAAAACAGCAAAAGAATTACAAAGCCTAAGGGAGCTGATTTCTCTTCCTCCTCATCCTCCATACGGGCCCCAAAGACTGTTAGAGGAGTAGTACTGGAATGGGTGGGGTCCGTGCTCCTGGCCTCGTAAACTAAAGGCTACTCTCCTCTTCTGCATAAAGCTTCCTAGTTGCTTTCTATGGCCTCCTGAATTCTCAGGGAAGGCTTTCTCTGCAGGACTAATGCACTACGAGGGAGCAGACAGTATGGCAACTCCAGGCGGCACAGGAACAGAGCAGGTATCAAGTCTAGGGCAGGAGTAGTTCTGAAAGTACGGCCCAGTTACCACCTGCAGCAGAATCACCTGGCACTGCTAATTACATACTCAGGCTCTACACCAGGACAAATGAATCAGAATCTGGTGGAGGTGGGAGTGGGGTAGTCAAGAATCTGCTTAAAAACAAAAGCAAGGGGCGCCTGAGTGGCTCAGTCGTTAAGTGTCTGCCTTCAGCTCAGGTCATGATCCCAGGATCCTGGGATCGAGCCCCACATCGGGCTCCCTTCTCCGCGGGAGGCCTGCTTCACCCTCTCCCACTCCCCCTGCTTGTGTTCCCTCTCTGTCTCTCTCTGTCAAATAAATAAATAAAATCTTAAAAAAAAAAAAAAAAAAGCCCCACAGTTCCCTAGATTATACACACCAAAACCTGAGAACCACTAGTCTGGATGAACCCCCTCCCCGCCAAAATAACTAAATTGTAAAATTGACACTGATGAGGAGGAAACCCATGAGAAAAAAAATAAGCTTGTTACCCACCAAACTCTGTCCCTGGTAGCAACTTCACATCTGGTTAGTGGGTATTTATTACACCTTCTGGCAAAGATCAGAAAAAATGCAACCGAGGAATGGAACAATATTGGCAAACAGAGATAAACATTCCTTTCAGGATCCTGTGGGAGCTACTCACCTCCTCTAGACATTTCCTAAGAAGCTCCACTGCCCTCTCACGAGAGATAGCTGAAAGAGAACACAGAGGCCACGCACTCAACGTTTTGCCATTAAGTCCAACTCTCTGCCACAAGTTTTACCTTTCAAACTTCTTCAGGTCAGTACGCCACACAAACGGAAATGGCAAAAAAATGCCTAGCCTTCTAGTTTGCAACAAACTTATTCCATATGCAGTGGAAGGTGCCCCAGACCCAGTGCTCTGGCAGCCGCAAGCCACTGCAAATTGATTTGCTACAGAGAAGGGTAAGCATGACGGAATTCTGCCTCCCATGGCCAGGGCCTGCCTCTAGAGAAGTCCAGCGGCTTGCCTCTTTTTTTATAGCCCATCCCCCTCACCCCTACACACACCCCAGCACCCCCCTTTTAGACCAGGGCTGAAATCAGTTCCATCTGCCCTAGCCAGCTGCAAGTCAGGGAAAGGGAGGACAGGGCCTGAGTTTTAGCCTCACTTTCCCAGCTGGGTCTCTGTTTAACAATGGAAAGAGAATTCATGGGATAGGGCTGAGACTCTCATAAAATCGGAGCCAAAGGAACTGTCCACAAGCATGACAAACTGGGATGACATATTAGGCAGTTAGGCTTCAGGGATGGTTAGTGGTGATTTTGGTGGGCAAGTCAGCTGTACTACTGACAGATGCCAAATCAAGAAACAGTCACTAGGAGGCCAGGCTAATTCTTTTCAGGATGTGGCCTAGAACGCTGGTATGGCTACGGTTGAGTGAGAGGGCAGCACCAAAAAGAGTGGAGAAGCCAGATTTTTTCCTGTACTGACAGGGAAGAATGGAATTTAAGGTGAGAAGTGGTTATGTGTGTTGCATCTACAGCCTGCAAAAGTGACAAATCCCAAGTGCCTATCGCTCACAGTGGCGAAAATCAAGGCTGAGATTGGAGTCAGAAGATAGAACTTAGCACAAAAGCATTACTGTGCTGGAAGCTCTGCCAAGCTAACGTCTGACAAGAAGAGAGCCAGCTTCTTCTTACAGGAGGGACAGCCATCAGGTGATAAGAACCAAGGGAGGGGCCCAGGCTTGGGGCCTTCAAAAGCTTTAACATTTAAGCAAAGAAATCCTCAGTTGTCATGCTGGGGACCTGTTCATCCTCACAAGCTCAAAACAAACACACAGACCACTTGGTTTACTTGTTCATTCCTTATAGCTGAGATGCTAATAAGCATCCAGGCAGGGAAAAATGAGTTAAAAAACTGAAAAATTAGTTTTACTCACTACTCCAACACCCTTTAAAACAAAACAAAACAAAACAAAAGCAAACCCAGCTCTGGACATATGCAGTACCTCCTTTTGTCTGGCAAAAAAGGGACTTTTATTAGCCTTTCAATAACCCTACTGACCTGCAGGGGAGAGCAGCTTCCACAAGGTACCTGGATGTGCTTCCTAGGATCCATCCTCTATTCAAGCCCTGACCACCAAGGGGTAGTGTACAAAACCAGGAAGCAGCTTAGGACGGGACTCTGCTACTACTCCCTACCTAGTGTGCTAGAACTTACTTGGTGTATAGTATCGGTCCAGGATACTGAGAGTCAGGAAGGCACCATAGCCATGGGCTGCAAAAGGGGCTTTGGCCAAGGCTGCCAGGTAGTCCATGTAGTAGAGCGCTGGACCCTCATGCTCATCATAACCAGCCAGGAGGAGGTTGACATGATACGGGGTCTGCAAAAGAAAGACACGGTCAAAGCAGTAACACCAACATCTCCTACCATGACAAATGGGAACATTCCAATTCTTGATGAGTAAGAAAACAGCAGCAGCTAAGTAAATCATGATGAAAGTAAAACTGAAAGAAATCTAAAGGTCCGAGAGTATGGTAAGAGGTAAAGGGAGATTGGCTTCTTTTCTCTGAACAGAAGAGCATTGGGAGCACTTTAAGGTATTAAAAAAAAACCCTGCTTTCTTCTTAAAGCCTATGGACAAGAACTTGTTACAAAAGCATTTCAAAGGCAAAGAGAGCATTGGTGTTCCTGTCTTTCCTAACTGCTGAAACCAACAAACACAGTTCTGAGAGTGTCAGGCCATAGACTAAAGAGAGCAGCAGCCCCAACCACATCTTCCAGAATGAACAGGTTCAGTCTGGGCACCTGGACCAAAATCTCAAGTGGTAGACCGTATGCCCCAGTATTAAAGAAAAACTCTTGGGGTGCAGAAGGATAGTAGGTCTCAAAAATTGAAGTCAAATCACTAAGCTTTTTTTTTTTTTAATTTTTAATTTTAAGTAGGCTCCACGCCCAACGTGGGGCTCAAACTCACAACCCCTAGATCAAGAGCTGCATGCTCTACCCAACTGAGCCAGCCAGGCACCCCTCAAATCACTAAACTTTTAGTGCAGACAGTAATAATGGAAGTCCATAAATACGCTAGAACTGTGGAAACATAGTAATACTAGAAGAACTGTAGTTTTAAGTGAAATGCTAATAACATTTTTCTCATATAATAAGGCTCTGCTAAGATAACTAAAAAGTAATTTATATCAATGAGACAAATACAAATTAACAGGTATCCCTTCTTTGTATCACCAGCAAATCTAAACATGTACGTTTCTACAAAGAACCTTGACTATGTTTGCCTTGGTCTTCATCTCCAAACAGATGCTTATTTTTTTTTTTTCGACACCAGCTGGGCTGTTCACCATGTTAAACTGAGCCTGTCTAGGCCCCTAGGCATCAGGAGGGAGACTCCCATTTTACATGGCTTCCTTTTTCACTGCAAAATGTGTTTTTCATCTTACATTTGCCTCAGTGGGTAGTGAGCAGGCCTTGCTCAAGGTTATGTGCCCATATATTCAATTAAATGCATATTAAATGAAACTGAATATATTTACACGCCCTTTTATAGAGCATAGAGTAATAACAGCTAGTGGTCTTAAAAGTGACATCTCACATTTTTGAACAATGATTAACATGGGCACTTGGAGGCTTGAAGAAACTCATGTGAGAAGAACACATGAAAATATTATATACTTACTTGGAACTCCAAGCCAGTTGTCCTAGTAACATTTCAGTTCCTAAAGATACAGAGTAGCCCTAAACTGCAAACAAGTTTCTGCCTTGGGGATAAGATGGTGGATGGTCTGAGAGGAGGAAGAACTGACTAGCAGTAGTCAAGTCTTCTGAGAAAATAATTACCTGCCTGACACATTTCCTGGTGGGCAGTGTGCTACACTCTGCCAGGCTCCAGAACTCTTTGCCACGTTCTGCAACTATGTTCTTAGTAATTCTGACCTTAGGCAAGACACTTAACCCCTATAAGCTTCTGTTTCCTTATGTGTAAAACTGGGTTAATTAATCCTTTGCTTTCTATTTTCCAGGGAGTACGGTGAGAAAAAATAATAGAGGTGAGCATCCCAAACTCTGAAAGAAAAGATGCTACCTAAATTTCCTAGTGTATTAGCCATACCCCAGTCTCCTTTCAATAGCTTACTACTTTAAACAACAAAGACAAAACTGCTTAAATTAGCTAAAGATAAGAATATTTATCTAATAGAATTTTTTTCTAAGTGTGAAAACTGAACAGGTTCAGTCTGGGCACCTGGACCAAAATCTCAAGTGGTAGACCACTTGTAAAATCAGGCAGACATAGAATACCTTTGTGTTGTTATGGTTAAAAGTGGAATAGCAAAGAGGAAACAGAGAGAAGAACGAGGGGCGGAGGGAGACAGAGATGGCAGAGATGGGGATTCTACCTGGTTTTCCTCCCCAAGAGATTTCATAATGAAGTCTTACCTATCACAAAAAAAGTTCATCTTTTTGCTAAGAGGTTAACTGTACTATTCTTTGTTCACGGGCCAAAATACCCACTGTATGGTCAACCAGAACAATTTTATCAAGTTGTAATGCTAAGTTAAGGATCCATCCAGCTACCCCGAGAAGTCTAAGCAACCCAGAACCCAGATATGTTCTGTCCAGTGAGGATCTTGCCTATATTATGACATTACACTATACTGTGTTTAAAACACGTGATTTTAAAAGATCTTACATGAAACTGTATCAATGGAATTTCAAAAACAAACTGTATTGCTTAACTGGTCTATATAATATCATTTATTTATGCTGAAGCATCTGATACACGCACTCATCAAAGTTGGTATTCAGAAGCCACAACACGTGGTAGAGAAGATAACTCACAAATTATTGTGTGACTTCGAATTACCAACTTTTGCAAGTGTGAGATGCTCAAGCATAAATAAATGGTGTTATCTAGACTAATTAAATCAATACATCTGTGTAACAACTTGCAGTTTCTGAAATTCTTCTGACAATGCTCCATCAAAGATCTCTGGCTCACACTAGTTTTTTAAAATTTCCAATAAAGTCTTCTATACTGTCACTCCTGCTCCTCTCAGAATCATGGTGTTCAAAGTGATAAAGCCATAGTTATGGGTTTCTTGACTGTTACAGTCCCTCATATTCTTGATTCCTTATAACTTTCCTGGAATGAGACAAATTCCAAGCCCTTCAATTTTGTGCTATTCTGACCGCATATACATGTGTGACTGCTGGTGGTGTGTTTAGGGAAATATTTATGTGTAAACTACAACCCACCTATTCAAATATTTATGCCAATTATAAGTACCATGAAGGCAGGATTATGTATGGTTTGTTCAATGATATACAAGCATATAGTACATGCTCAATAAATATTTGCTGATGGGTAATAATCATATCAGAAAGCATTACACATTTTAATTTATATGTGGCTAATGCCTAGTATCACAAGATGAGGAAAACCACTAAACAAATGTCAGAAAGTGATAGGGCATACTTCCAAGAATTCACTCAAGTCTAAAGAGACTGCCAGGGGTGCCTGGGTGGCTCAGTCATTAAGTGTCTCCCTTCGGCTCAGGTCATGACCCCAGGGAGCCCCGAGTTGGGCTTCTTGCTCAGCGGGGAGCCTGCTTCTCCCTCTCCCACTCCCCCTGCTTGTGTTCCCTCTCTCACTGTCTCTCTCTGTCAAAATATATAAATAAAATCTTAAATAAATAAATAAGTAAATAAATAAACAAAAAAAAAGAAAATTATTGTTTTTAAATCATTTAAGGTAGTGACATCAGTAAAATGACAGACTAAGAAGTCCCCAACCCTTCTCCCATGGAGACATCCAAATAACCACACTCTATGGGCCAAAATACCTTTGTAAGAATGCTAGAAACCAACTGAGAAGCAGCAGCACCCAGGCCAATGGAAAACCAAGAAGGGATTCCAGTGAAAGCTGTAGGAAAGTTTGCAAAGTTTTGTACACTCATACGCCACCCCCAACCTGGTGTAGCGACACAATTAGGAGGAAACCTCCCATACCTGCTCCACCTTCAAGATGGAAACAGAACAGACCATGCATCAAACAATCTGGATTGTCTGGGGGCTGCCTGAGGGGATGGTTTCTGTGTCATCTGATTCAGAGCATAGTAGGAACAGCAGAGCAGTTTAGAAGTGCAAATAATGAATCATGAAACACTACATCAAAAACTAATGATGTACTGTATGGTGACTAACATAACA